TAGCAGAAAAATGGATGAAAAATCGTCTGTTAATTGTGCGTGGTAAGGAATTAAGATTAATGATTTGAACTGAAAAGACAAATTGCAGAGCGACGGCCGTCAATAATCAGCGTGTTTCTCCGATCAGAGTTTATCGTCGCTTTGTATGTATATTTAAAAAATTGCCCCGTTCAATTTATCCTCCATGGATGTAAACCTCAAACGGTGGTTTGTTTGCTCGCAATCCGGTGTTTTCGCACCAGCAAACAAGTTTGGAGTGACATTTTAAGCGTCCCTGCTTTGAATAAACATTCTGGAGTTCAGTGTTTACCGTGAGGTATTTATTTGTTTGACGTGTTAGCGTGTTCAACCACCCACCTAGTGACAATTCCAGTAAGGCTACAACCCGACCTAGGAGGTAAACTGTCGATATTGATCACATACACAAGTACCTACAACACGTCAAAATGGGAAAAATATTCTTACATTAATTTATAGCATTTTTTATATGGTCAATGACTATTAGTTTGGGTTTTATTATAATCATAATGTAATTCTTTACTTTTCCATTGATCTATTTTACCAAATTTTTAACAATATTTTAACGAATTTGATATATTTAGGACGTTATTGGAAAAATTCTAAATACTGAAATTTATAATACCTTTTGATTCCTAAACATGTTTTAATTTAACTTTTATAAAATTCATCCATTATTAAATTAATCTCATACCATATTGCATGATCTGATGCTCTTTTCGGAGCTGACCATCCGCTTAAGTTGGACGAATAATAGACGCGCAAACTTACGCTTTGTGTATCAAATGAAATTGGACAAATGTATTTGGACAGCATATTTTCATCCCAATTAGTTCACCTTTAGTTTTGTGCAACAGGACTTTAACAGGACATTTTGAGAAATCGGATGTTTAAAATGAATTGAAAATGTATTGTATATGTTTGTTGCATGGAGAATTTGATAAGAGAAAATTTAAAAATAAATTCTGAATTAGAAACGTACCTAATTTTGCAAACAAAGTAATTTCAAAACTAGTCGCGTTCTAGAAATGTTTATTTAAGTATGCAACATTAAAATCCAATTTAAGTTCCAAATTATCGCAAAAATAAAACACGTAAGCGTAAAAAAACTTGCAGAAAGTGGTTATTTTAAAATAAATTTGTCGGTTATTTGGAAACTTGCTGTTCTTCTGCTGCATTTAAGCTACATTCAAGCAACCTGCAGTAAATTAAAGATATGCATTTAAGTATCAAACTGTAGAAGAAACAAATGTATTTTCGGGCAACTTGAACCAATGGTAATTAGTTTCTAAGGAGAAACGATCATTAATGAATACAAGTTCTATAAATTTAATCCAGTGACGGATAATACGTCTATTGATTTAAAAATTAAATTAACAGAAATACGAAGGCGCTAAGTATGAAGTCTAAACAGTTTTCAGTGAAAATACTCTTTGACGAAAGCTTGTATCAATAAGCGGTTTTCATTAGAAGCAAATTATTAATATCGTTCACGTTTTGCCATTAATTTGCACCAGGAAGCAATATCATAGAGATTAATATGTAAAGTCAAATAGCCAAGTAAACTAGCTTTTATCAATAATTTTTTTTAAGTTTCATTAAGAAACTTCGATTTGGGACGAGAAAAGTGTTATCATGGTGTGGTGGAAATTCTATATAAATATTTCTGAAAAAATTGTTGTAAATTTACAAGTATTGAATATATTATCGAGTCATATTCAGCGCGTTTGATATATTAAAAGAAAAATAATTACAAAGAATACTTGACAGAAAAAGTATAATTTACTCCCTTTCTGAGGAAACTGGAAGTTATAGAAACTTAGTAAATACGTAAAAAATCATGTTTAGTTAATATTTAAAGTAGCCAGAGGGGTTTCAACTTAATTGATAATGAACTCATTGAAGGATTAATGAAAAAACTCGAGAAAAGTATGAAAACTGCAATGTGAGTAAGTAAAAAAACACAAAAAATGAACTGAAAACAACAGCTTTCGAAATACAATTCTTATTAATTACTTCAATGTTCCAATTATGTATTTATTTCATTCGATTGCCTTACTGTCGTAAATCGTGTTTAATTGTTAACTCGTTCTTTCCTAGTTAAATAGGAATAAAAATAAATCAACTTACCTGACGTCGGAGGTGGCACCACACCATTTCCAATACCATTGATACCATTAATTCCATTAATAGTATGGGCTGGTAACTGTGTAATGGCAGCCATTGGGTTTATGTAAGTTCCTTGTGCAGTTGCAGCTGCCATAATTGCGGCTTGCTGCTGGAAACAAAATAGTGTATGTAGTGAATTATATTGTCTAAGGGCAATAATAATTATTTGTAATATATTCACTTTTCAGACCAAAAAGTCTAAGTCAGTTTAGAAGAACCGGTTTTATTTCGCTTGCCATATAAGATGTTTATGTGTTAAATATTCGGATATAATTCAGCATGAAAATTATGAATAAAAAAATCAGAAGAAAAATGGTCTAAAACTGTAGTTTAAATGAGATTTAGTTGATGTTAGAATTTATGAAATTAACACAGAAACAATTTTGGTCCAACTCCTAAATTTTAAAAGTCGTAATTTATTATTTAACTCATTAGAGAAACTCTAAAAATCCTAAGTTAACAACTAAAAGCTGCAAGTAAGTACTGGACAATATTTCCAAAAAATTTCCAATTTGCCAACGTTTTCATATTTAACGAAACAAAATTGATAGACCAGAGCCGAATCATCTTGGATAACTTCACAGCTAATTTATCATGTACTAATGAGACAGGAAATTCAATGTTAACATCGGAAACTTAGGGCAATCGTCGGCAAATGTTATCACATATCTACTAAACTATGCAGGTAAATAATGACGCGAAATAAAAGAACAGATGGACCTTCCCAAAGGGCCCCCGGCAAGTTTATTAGACATTCTGGCCGTCACGCAAAGCACTTAACCAACGGTAAACTTTATGTTTGAATGTAATTTAGTAATTAATTTTATTACATTTCCAAACAGTAATTACGGCAAACGGATATAGTGCTTTAGTTTATATTTTATGCTTTTATCACAAGTATTTTGTGTACAAAGTCGTTCGGCAAGTCTGAGTGCAATTGAAAAAGTTTACTTCACTTCTTCCCTGGGAATCGGATTAAATGATATCGCGCTCTTGGGTTTAATCATAATTAGTTAATTCATCACCAAGGGATGCGTTCATTATTTGGCAATTTCGCGTAACAAGCGGATGTAGATGTTGGAAAACTAAATGAGAAATTTCCTATAGATACAGTTTTAGTGAAGTAACTTTGAAAAAATACTGCAACATCAATCGAATTCATATGGGAAAAACATACGATTGTCTAAATACTGCACTTGGGAAATTTCCTTTAAATATGCGCATATTAATCAGATGACTAATTTGAATTCAGCAGAAACTATAAATTTGAATAATGTGCAAAAATAGCTATGTATTCGTTCGATCAGTCGAGATTTTCCTCCCACAAAACAAGGCGAAAAATTAAACCGTTTCAATTATAAAAGCGTTGGTAGTAGTTAAATAGCTTTTAGGGAAGTTTTAAACTGCAGTTTTATACGTTTATTCAGCCTACTTCGTTCGTGGTCAAAGTTTTAAGTACTTTCCGCAAATTAAAATTTCCGTTAGATTTACCTAAATAGAGTAATTTTCAGTAATTAAATAGTTACGATTGCTAGAAATGTTGTTTCGGTAAATATCTTTGCATTGAATAAGTTTACGGTGCTGTAAATTCACTCGCCGAAATTAAGAGGAATACTCAAGCCTCCATTAATAGTTGCATATTTTTGCTTGTATTTCTAATTGTATAACGGTATATCTATATAAAATAAAATAATTTTTACAAATTTTCTTTTTTTTCTTCAACTAGAATTGCATAAGGCCGAATAGTGTGGTGTATTAAAATTTTTCATAAAACCAAAAATATTCCTCTCTTCTACGAACTTATATGTGTATAATTAATTTAAAAATAAAATGTGCGTAAAATGTCCAAATAAAACAAAGCTATATTTTAATTGAATAACAGGTATATGTTCATATCTAATTTCTGTAATTGTTATGATTATTTTTTCCAAGTCATTTATCTCTATTTATTTGCTACTTAGTTGCTAGTGAACATTAATAAAATTACGAACATGCAATGAAAATAATGAAATAGTTAACATGACACGGCATCTAATGAACATGAGACAATTAGGACAATTTTGATGAAAAGGCGAATTAAATGTGTGTTACAAACGAGTTGAGACAATTAGATTTTCGTGTGCAATAAATGCATTTAGAATGTTTCATTTGATTAGTCTCAAGAAAGTGTGGAATTTTTCTAAAAAGAGTTAGACCTTCGTAGTATTTGATTGCAATTGGTGAGTTTTTCCGACTTTCGGGCCCCCGTGGAAAATATTTTCTTGCTGCGGCAAATAGTCCAATTTTGAACACGCAAGACATTCGTGTTTGCAAAACGTCAAGAAAAACTCACCAGTTTCAATGGGATTCTTATTAAAAAGGAGTTCAATGGGAAACTTAAAAGTTATTGGAACATAAAAAATCAAACGCTTCTGTTGACTTTCTCTATTTGTATAGATGGTCTATACATGATGCGTTGGGAAGATCAGGAAAAAGGCAGCCATGCATCAAATTAGAACTGAAAGGCCAAGATGGCAAAAATAAATAACAAAAAGACGTTCACAAAATGTGGAATGATTATACACGTATCACGCCAACAGAACAGAAATCATGCTGTGTTCTAGAAAAATTACACAAAACTTGGAACCCGAGCGAACGTACCGATTGGTGGTCAAATTCGGCTACAAAGGATGTGGGTCGGGACGAAATATTTTCTTCAAATGCTTGCATTGACTGCCATCTTCCGTTTTCCCAAATTTTAACATCTACCTGTATAACACATATTAGAAGTCTTAATAACACTAATTGATGGCAGACATTTTAATTACATTTTTGAAATAACACTTTCAACTTTGCTTGAATAAAAGTTCGCAAATTGATGTTCCAATATGTTGTAAATACGACTAGTTAGTGTTAGTTAACAAAATTAGTTCAATTAGAGGAACACACATGTTAAAATCAGCCAACTTAGCGAGCACAGAAATTCAATAGATGATCTATAAATCCTCAAAAAAAAAAGATTTAAACATTGTTACGTACTTGTGCATACGCTGCTCCGTATCCTCCGAACTGGTTGAATACGAATGGGTTGAGGAGACTCATATTTCCAGCCATCTGCTGCATGCGTCTAAGTTGTCTTTCTTTTTCTGTATCGGCAAATTTTACTACTAAACTGGAAGAGGCTCCCTGGAAGAAAAGACATCCGATATTAAAAAGAACATTTTTTCCAAAACGTATTTCATATCTTCATGCTAGTTACGATAATAAAATTCTAGGTCGCATATAGGAGATGAAAGAGACACTTTTATATGAACTCCGACAACAACAAAAAATATGAAAACTCTAAGTAGGCAAAATGGTTGTAAATATTTCTTGAACATCAAAGATATTGCCTCAAAGAATATTACGTTCAGTTCAACAAATGTTTAGCACAACAAAACCTTCAAAGCGAAGATCTCTTTCTTTTGATGTTTCGAGAGTTTCGGAAAGCTTACGGGAATCTAAAGCATATTTTAATATATTTTTTTCCGTTCCATTTTAATAAATAGTCTGCTCGCTTTGCCGGTGAAAACCATTTAGACGATTTTATATGCCGAGATTGGTCGCAACGATATCTAAGTGATGTCTACAACTACGACAAGCATCTGCTTTTACACGGCCTTTTTATTTTGATTTTTATATTGCTGCTCCGTTCCAAAGAAGTTATTTTGCTTAGATTTTATCGCGCCATAATACACATCGTGTTTCGAAAACAACTTTTGGAGAAAAATACGTGATAATGAGCAACAAGCTGCTGTTAAAGCCCATCGTAAGGAATATTAATTGAAAGGAAAAACATGAACTAGTCTAGAATGGGAATCGTTTATTTGGATCTATCTGAGTTACAAAACAGCGGTTTGAAAACTTCATATTTTTTATTTTGCCAAAACAACACTAAATAAAAATTTAATATAGCAAATAAATTAAGCGTCTCAGAGGAGAGTCAGATCTTCTACCTGTTGAAGGTTTTGGACACCAACAAAAAATATTGTAAATTAAGCCCAGATAACAAACCAATAAATATATTCTGACAAAAACTAACGCTTAAAATAATTTCCACGGATCTTTCCAGATATTCGAACATAATTTTTTTAAATTTCAAATTTTTTCGAAAATTTTTCAAAAAAAAGCAGCACACTAAGAGATGTTTCAAAAATTTCATGTTTTTACAATACCTATTTAAATGATTTTAGAGTCTGATTTAAAGTTTCCATTTCAAAAAATTCTTAAGCCTACTTAGCTACTATACTTAGCAGAGGAACAACAAAGCGCAACTTACGTTTTATCAATTACTGATTTAGTGCCACGATTTCAGTAAAATTTCATGTTTTTAGCTCTGTCAGCAGTTACCACGTTTACAACCGGTTTCGATTCTATTAGTTCTCGCCAGTTGACTTTGGCTTGCAAATAACACTCCCGTAAACCTGCTCTTTAAATGCAGATAAAATAAATGGGAAATATATAAATTAAGAAAATAGAAAAAACTGGATAGATTTAAAATCTTGCTGGTGTCAGACACGCATTTATCCTCTGTATTTTTCTGTAACCAATTGCATGTTATGCATGGATCTACCCCGTAGAATAAAATTATTTACTTCCTCTGATTAATTTTCTCCGTAACATTTTTTCCTCAATAAATTCAGATGAACATAATTTGAGACTTGCCAACTTAACAGTGTCGTTAAAAGCAAGCAAAATCTCATAGAAAACAGAGACTAGAGCCGCTTACTTTAAAGGAGATATAAAATTGAATTAGGGCTTTCATTACATACGTAGGATTATAGTGACCTTTACAAAACTATTAAACATGCATGAACGGGATATACTGCAAATCCAGCTCCATATAAGAGAAGCACTCCGACTAAATTACATAGATTAGGCATTATCTCTTTCTAATGACTGTTTTATTTTCCAGTGCAGTTCGCTTTGCCAAGGAGGGTAATGCCAGTTTTATGGATATTGGAAATGTTTTAGCTTGCCTGTTTCGGTTTTTATGTTTTTCATAACTTTGCAAATCACCGTCTTTATTCAATTTTATTTCACTCAATAATGAAGCATGCGAATATGTTGTCATTAATATGAATGGACGACTGATTGATTGGAAATGTGCGACGTAGATTTTCGATTGTAAAAATTATGATACTTTTTTAAGAACGATGCAGTATTGGTTTTTATATCAATTAAAGGTCCTAAATTCTTTGAAATTAAAATTTCGAAAAACTATCCTTGAAATTAGCAATTCACATCGACGGCGATCTGACGTAGATTATGTTGGATCATTCTTATGCCACTTTTGGAAGAAAGCAAGTCTTTTGATCATTAAATAAAGCTAGACATACTATAATCAAGGGCGCATCCAGCTCAGGGGCGTCATGTAGTAGAGATTCAGTCAGGGCAGGCTTCAATTCAATTACAATAGTTAATTTAATTAAGAAAGTAATAACAATAAAATAATCACTTCAATCGGGATCGTTTTGTAAACGTGGAGAAGTGTCAATCCAGTTAAGCGCTCTTCCGTTGTCAAAGCTCTAAAAAAATCGGCGGAAAACTGATCCGAGAAGTCTTGCAAAAATAAAGCGACTGATTCCACCGCTCTTAATGAGGCGCGAAGATTTAATGTAGATCTTCTCTTTAGATCACTATAGCATGGCACTGCGGTTTCATAAAAATTTACTATGACTCAGTTTCATAGAAATTGAGCAAAGTGCCAAATCGAGAGCTGGTATTGAATGTGGATCTAACGATGACTCCACACTACATATCCAGTTGAAAATAATCAGTGTAAAAAAAACGGACAAAATTCGAGAGCATTTAATTTAGGATGGATGGAAAAGTCTATTCCGCTCCATGATTGGAGATGTTCATATTTGGCTGGAAAACCTATTTTTTCTACGGTTTCGATCCAAACTAGTTTCAACCAGAAACATGCGTTTCAAAATATTGGCATGAGAACAGGCACTTTCTATAAAACAGTCAACAACAAAAAACCGACAATCGAACTGCGAATGACTCATCCAAAGGGATGACCAAGCAAAAAATTATATCGTCTCGATAATTCCTGCTTTCGGAAAGTGGTAAAATGTAAAAGCATAAATATCTAGTTTGGTTCGGGAAATGAACAAAATACGTAGTCAGTCCTTTGTTCATCGACGGCATTTACAGGATGCTTTGGTGGCAATAAGGCAAGTGCGCCAGGTTATCCGTTATCTACTAAACTGGATCTTTATTGTTTGTTCAAGTCTAGTGTAAGTTTTTGAGGATTAACGGGCAGAACATGGAGTATGGGGCGCCAGCTCGCAGAAAGCTGGTAAACATGATTTCTAATCTATAAATCCTTTAGCTTGAACTGAGTTTAGTTTTTCGAAAAGCAACTGAAGTTGGTTGATTTTTTATTTATCTTTATTTCCTCTGTTCATTTCAAATAGCTAAACTTTTCACTAAGTTTTTGTAATACTAAAGAATGTTTTTCTTTCTTTCCAGGTGGCACGATACAGCTTTCGGTAAGTTTGAAGTTACTTTACACCTGGTTGCCATGTTCGACAAGGAACGACGAGGGACGTTCTGGAATCTGGATTGAGTTTCAAAGTTTTTCGAATTTTTTTCCTGTAAAATTTATTTAAACTCAGATATTATACGTTAACGAATGAGATTCTCAACAGAATACTCTTTTGATATGTAAAACTATTAATTTTCTGTTGTGAGCTATACTTTTTATTGCATTGGTGGGTAATTTGCCTCATTTCCAAGTTTTTCATTCTTTCAATTACACCAACCAAACCTAAACTAAAATTATTTTCATTAAATTTTCAAAAATATACTTGCCAGATTTTGTAAAGTGGAGTGTAATTATCGATCTGTAGTATCCGCTGAGGGAGGTAGCAGCAAAATTTGAATTATTTTCACTTAGTTTATCAACATTAATCAGACAGGTTTTCCGCAGGAGTTTGTTTTTAAATTAAACTTTAAAAATTCAATCTGCTTAAAAAGTATTCAAAATGAAAATATCAATACTAAGGTTTTCCTGTTTTTTTGTTATGTTATTTTCACCCGTATTCAAATTTCAAAATAAGGCAGAAGCCAGACCAAAATATTTAAAAGTAGGTGGACCTTGCTTATTTCTTTGCGATGGTTTAGCGGATAGCGCCCTACCAAACTGGAAAAGATCCTAGACTAGTTATTTAGATAAATCTAGATAAATAAATTATTATTTCCAAGCAATTCGTGCTAGCGGCCAAGATTCCTCCGATATATTTCAGCTTCTTTGCCATGCAGCGCCCTTCAGCCTGTAAGTAGTCCAGATCAAGATTTTAAGCAGACTAACAGCCACTAAATGAGATTTTTGAGAAAATATCGAGGTTTTAAGGAATTTTCGACTATTTGTAGGCGACTTTTATATAACGGCTTTTTCGAAATTATAGCGCATTTATTTCGTATGCTTTAGAATTTTAGAAAATTTCGACATACAAAAAGCTCTTTTCCTAAAAAAATTGCGACCCTACTTTCACAGAGCCAACATCACCCCCGTGATCCCCCCTTCTGGATCGGCTCTTGCTTATAAAATCTTATCATAAACTTTCCATCCATCATCAAGAACAAAAAAAAAATCTTGAAACCAACTGACGCAGAAAAATGTTCAATTCAAAATATTCAAGACTGAAGATTCTCGATATGCGAATGTATAGTGTTATTATGTATCCACAATAAAAAATATAAAGTCGGTTGAATATTGTGAAAACTGGGATAACATTTTCGATTCTTTCAGGCCTGAAGGGTCCAACGTGTTCTTCAATGAGCTCGTTGCATTTCTCGTTGACTTGAGATGAAAATGGTATTGCATTTTGAGTGAGTTTCATTCCAAGTAATAGTAGCAAACCTTTCGTTTTTAGCGACTAAAAATTCACTTTTCCCATGTATGTTTTTTGAGTTCAATGCACAGCTTCATCCTAAGAAGCTCGCAAAACCTGAACAATATGGATTTTTTAATTCCGTCTTGCTTAGAAATCGTTTTCAATTTTTCAACAAACCAAAATTGCAATTATAAAAGTAGACTGGGTCTATTTAATACCTGTAAATTTTGCTCTATTAAAATTACGTAAATACTTTTCGCTACCGAAACCGAGGATAAGGAGGAACACTTTTTGAAGGAA